TTTACACTCAAATCTGGTCATATTAATTTTCTGATTTGCATAATTAGTTTTCAGCTAAGTAATTTCGAATTATATTTAATGTGTCTCCAATACTCTCAGCACATGGGAGTTCTTTCTAAGCTTTCTTTGATCCTTTATTGCTCAAGAAACTCCTCCATGTTGGAAATACAGCAACAATGTTGTACATTTTGAACAAATAATAACATGCCGTTGTATGTAAGGTAGGATGTAGAAGAAAGTCAATTTTAATACTTTTTTTGTTTTGTTTATTACTGTTTTTTTTTTATTTATTGAAGTCCTGTAATTTTTTGTTTATGGGTAATACTACTATTTTTGAATACTAGACTTTCAGAAAATAAATTATATTTGTCAATATCCCCATTATAGGAGTGTATGTCATGAAAAGCAACTATTTAATAGAAAGGGTCTTGACAGCTTTCATGTCATGTTCTGATAATCTGAACTCTTTCATGTCCATTATTTACCTGCAGTATGAATCTGAGTGTAGAGATCACATGGTGACAAAAGAAAAGTTAGATGAACATGAAAAAACAATTGAACAATTTACAAGAGGTAACTATGACATCCATTTTAAATCATTGAATCATTTTTGTGGAGAAAAATAATGGTTTATTTCAATTCTGTTTGAACTTGACAATTCTTAGACTTTGAATATGTGCACCACCAGCTGTAAATTGGTGTGATGATGCATGATTTGTTTTCTTGTTTCTAGTGAATACTATGGTGTATCAAGAGTTAGAACAGCTAAAAGAAGATCATGAGAAAGAAAGAACTCTTCGACAGAAGGCTGAACACTATGCTGCTGAGGTAAGTATCATCAGGAGCCAATGATTTGCTACTGTGTGAAGATCTCAGTCCAGTGTGTTTATTGTATTTCATCTTAGTTGTGAGCATGTTTCACATGCACATTTGGGTGTCTTTTTCAAGATTTCTTTCTGCAAGTGTGGTGTTTACAAGATTCCTTTGTACTAAGTGTGGTGTTTACAAGATTCCTTTGTACAAAGTGTGGTGTTTACAAGATTCATTTGTACTAAGTGTGATGTTTACAAGGTTCCTTTGTACTAAGTGTGGTGTTTACAAGGTTCCTTTGTACTAAGTGTGGTGTTTACAAGATTCCTTTGTACAAAGTGTGGTGTTTACAAGATTCCTTTGTACTAAGTGTGGTGTTTACAAGGTTCCTTTGTACTAAGTGTGGTGTTTACAAAATTCCTTTGTACTAAGTGTGGTGTTTACAAGATTCCTTTGTACTAAGTGTGATGTTTACAATATTTATTTGCAATGAGTGTGGTGTTTACAAAATTCCTTTGGACTGAGTGTGGTGTTTACAAGATTCCTTTGGACTAAGTGTGGTGTTTACAAGATTTATTTGCAATGAGTGGTGTTTATAAGATTCCTTTGGACTAAGTGGTGTTTACAAGATCCCTTTGTACTAAGTGTGGTGTTTACAAGAATCCTTTGTACTAAGTGTGGTGTTTACAAGATTCCTTTGTACTAAGTGGGGTGTTTACAAGATTCCTTTGTACTAAGTGGGGTGTTTACAAGGTTCCTTTGTACTAAGTGTGGTGTTTACAAGATTTCTTTGTACTAAGTGTGGTGTTTACAAGAATCCTTGTACTAAGTGGGGTGTTTACAAGATTCCTTTGTACTAAGTGTGGTGTTTACAAGGTTCCTTTGTACTAAGTGTGGTGTTTACAAGATTCCTTTGTACTAAGTGTGGTGTTTACAAGATTCCTTTGTACTAAGTGTGGTGTTTACAAGGTTCCTTTGTACTAAGTGTGGTGTTTACAAGATTCCTTTGTACTAAGTGTGGTGTTTACAAGATTCCTTTGTACAAGGTGTAGTGTCATTCCTTGTTACCACAGTAAGTCTCTGAAGTACTGGGGCAGCAAATTTGCAAACTCGCTAGCGAATTGGCTAACTGCTTGTGTTTTGACAGCACAATTCGCTTTTGAATCTTGCTGGCGCTGACTTCTAGTCACATCCACTCCGGGCGAATCTATATTGCAGTAGGGGACTTAAAATGTTTTTTTAATGTAACCTGGCACATGTCTGAGATACCCAATTTCAAAGGCGATTTGCTGTGTTATGCGAGATGTAATATTATAAAAGCAGTTTACAGTTACCAAATTGGTGGCCAAGTATGAGTAATTTACAAAATAAAATTCTGCTCACCCATCAAATAATGGGAAATCAGTCATAGTCGCGACTTTCCCACAACTTTCAACCAAAGTCAACTGGCTTAAAAGTGATAATAAGATAAATGCAATTAATTCACCAATATTTACTATATAGAGGCAGCCATCTTGAATGCAGCTTGAGACTAAATATATAGACAAGTTGAGAAACAGAGTTTTCAGTTTCCTACACATCAGAGGGAAAATAACAAACTTTCAGTCAAGCGATGCATTTTTATGTGGAAAATCCTTTGCACACAAACACCTTTTTACACACTAAGAACATAAAACACTTTACCAGAATATTTGAGATTGAAATTGTCACCTAACTGTAAAGCTGCTACTGATCAGCTACTGAAAGTGTGTCGACCGTCCCTGGAAAAAGGCAGTTTTACTCAGCGAAGGAAACTTTGATCATATAAATTCCAGCAAGTTGTTCCTTGGTGTAACCATGTCAAACCCATCATCCTCTGTTCAATTTACAAAATCGTTCATTCATATTCCACTACATAAAAACATTGTATGTCTTCTACTGTAATATAAATTCTAGAGTGGGCGTGACCACAAGTTGGCACCAGCGAGATTCAGATACCATTTGTTTTGTAAAAACCTAAGCAGTTAGCCAATTCGCTAGCGAGTTTGCAAATTTGCTGCCCCAATACTTCTGAGACTTGCTATAAGTGAGGCGTTAACAAGATTTCTTTTAGCTAGCA